TTTTTAACCGTACTCCGTTACTGGGCGACGCTTAGCCTGCGCCTGTCATTTCGCCTAATCTCTATTCGGATCATGGTTATGAACATAAATATAATAGCTTGGGGTCCCCAGGTAACGTACTCCAGAACTCGCTTATTGAGCTAAAGTTAGTGTTTTTACATTGACTAATTGATTGAAAAAACGTAGTTCTTGAGCAGGATTCTCGGCCACAGTTGTCAGATTTCAGGGTATTTTTAAGACCCAAATGTTTGAAAAACTCTGGTCCAATCTTTTTAACATCTGTCATCTTGTCATCTTTTATTAACATCTTGTTAACATCATTGTCACAGTTATGAGTTTTACTTGTTTATGCTACGTCACCACAACAGCACTGTATAATCTGGGTACCATGAACTGACCCACAGTTCGCCAGCTGTCTCTCTCGTAATCGTACTTCTCTATAGTTGACACGTTCTTGTTCTTCTTGACGCCGCCAAACACGTACAGTACACCTTCACACACTTCACCCTGCAAATACACAGTTTAGATTTTTAATATTTCGAATATTATTATTAATGCTTTTATAGTATACGAATTTCTATATTAACATCACTTTGATACTGTTTTGTATGAAAATCTCGTATCTCAAACAGCAGTGAACATTGAACAACTAAGCGCCTACTTAAAATATGACACCCACCCTACCTGTATGCAGTCCCTCTGTTTCGGGAAATCCTTCAGCAGACTCCACTGTTTGTTCCTGAAATCATATTTCTCGACAGTTCGTTCGTTCCAGCCTCCTAGCGCTATTATTGTACCTGTAACATCATGTCGATGAGATTTGTATTATAGTAGATGTAAACTTCTCTGTGGAGCATTTAAAGCAGCCCAGTTTCAGCAAGTAGAATGTAGAATGTAGAATGTAGAATGAACGATGCATTTCAATTGTTGATTACTGTAAATGAGTCTAAATAGTTCAGCTGTAAATGAGTCTAAATAGTTTAGCTCGATGCAAGAGTCTGGGTTCGCATGTTGTCTAAATGCATTACTCGATTATCTTAAAATTTATTCCGCTTTTATTTTTATTCCAATCTACAGTTATTCTCGATTCCTTGCTAGCAGTCCGGTTAATTTAGTACCTTTAGTGGGTCTCATTTAATCATTAGCTCTAATTAAAGAACCTCTCGCCCTCTCAGATTTTCACCGCTCCGTTCATTTTTATAGCTTTATTATTTTTATATTTTTACTACACTTACTAACACGTGTGCATTACAAAGGAGCAATTGTTTGCGGAGGCATTCTAGAACGGTATATATTTTAGCTTTCAGTTTCTGTTTCATTATCTTAAAATTTATTCCGCTTTTATTTTCATTCCAATCTACAGTTATTCTCGATTCCTTGCTAGCAGTCCGGTTAATTTAGTACCTTTAGTGGGTCTCATTTAATCATTAGCTCTAATTAAAGAACCTCTCACCCTCTCAGATTTTCACCGCTCCGTTCATTTTTATAGCTTTATTATTTTTATATTTTTACTACACTTACTAACACGTGTGCATTACAAAGGAGCAATTGTTTGCGGAGGCATTCTAGAACGGTATATATTTTAGCTTTCAGTTTCTGTTTCATTATCTTAAAATTTATTCCGCTTTTATTTTTATTCCAATCTACAGTTATTCTCGATTCCTTGCTAGCAGTCCGGTTAATTTAGTACCTTTAGTGGGTCTCATTTAATCATTAGCTCTAATTAAAGAACCTCTCACCCTCTCAGATTTTCACCGCTCCGTTCATTTTTATAGCTTTATTATTTTTATATTTTTACTGCACTTACTAACACGTGTGCATTACAAAGGAGCAATTGTTTGCGGAGGCATTCTAGAACGGTATATATTTTAGCTTTCAGTTTCTGTTTCATTATCTTAAAATTTATTCCGCTTTTATTTTTATTCCAATCTACAGTTATTCTCGATTCCTTGCTAGCAGTCCGGTTAATTTAGTACCTTTAGTGGGTCTCATTTAATCATTAGCTCTAATTAAAGAACCTCTCACCCTCTCAGATTATTATTTTTATATTTTTACTACACTTACTAACACGTGTGCATTACAAAGGAGCAATTATATTCCTTATTACGCTCTAAGTTATTAATTTTCCTTGTGTTTGAATCCTGTCACTTTTTAACTGTTTTTAGTCTTTGTTATTTTCGACCGATTTCTGCACTTTTACACTGGGTCATCTTCATAATTTCTGGGATTGAGACGACTTATATCAGCATTTAAGGAAGAGTTTGCTTGTCTGACTTACTTCATTAGACACTTCTGGTCAAGAACTGAACATCAACAAGAACCACATTCGAAAACTGGAACATCTGAATGACTCCGCAACCCAGGAATCAACTACTCAGTTATTATCGCTCAATAATCGGTTTGGTATCGACGTTACATACTTTATTATTTTTTTTTAAAAAGCTGATTTTAGAAACCAGGGAATTAAAGTTACCCTCCTAAGGCTAACATTAAATCGCTGATTTTATTTATATATATCACTTTTTTTTGTTCTTTCTTTTCCTTCAAAACATTCCAGTACATTGTGCAGAAAGTTGGAGATGAAGCCGTAGTGCGTACATGTAGCATTGCACTGGATCGAACTTGCAGAGTGTGGTTTCCTCCAGTCTGCGCCGCGCGCTTATAATTATATAAACATATGCGGCGCAGATCGACTGGAGGAGATTGCACTGTGTAGGCTCCGGTGTAATGTGATATGTATGTACTACGGCTTTACAAATTTTGGAAGCATGTAGGGATATATATATCTGATACCAATCGTATATACTAAAAATACTCTAGCACAATTGTAACTGCAGTTTTACAGAACTCTAAATGCTTAATGAACACTCTTGCAGGTACCACCCGTATTCACACTCAGACCTGAGTTTAGTCATTTTCCGATACGAGATTGGGGACGGGTTCTATAAACAAACAAACAAACAACAAATGCATTACTCACCTTCGACCATCGCAGCACAGAAAGCGTGCCTGAAATAAAAACAAGACTTTAATTCTCGAAGGACTAAAATAAAAGGAGCAAAATTGTTGCCGTAGCAACAAAGAATCTTGATAGGTTTCCGTTATTGTCTATTCTATAAAATTAAATAAATCACGTACGTGCGCGTAGAAGTTATGAAACTTAAAATTAAGCGCGTTCCATTTCTTACAACCAGAAGACGTTTCCCTGAAATGTGTATGCGATTTTGTATGCGATTTGCGCGCCGCACGTACGTTAAAATAATTATATTTGTAGAATTTATGACGGTAACCCTTCAAAAGTCAAAATAAACTGCTCGTATATTTATAGACACTATGATATGAATAACTAAATAACACCTTGAACCCAACTTGGAACCACATCCAAGGGCCGCACCGACCCCAGAAAAGCTATAATTCAAGTCAAAAATCTTTACTCGGCCCTGTATGTGATTTGTGTTCCGGGGTAGTGGACAGATGTTTTAGTGGTTGAATAGCTAGTACCTATCCCAAACCATCATAAAAACCAAGTTTTGTTCTCTCAACCCACTCAGGCCACTCCCAGGGGCCACACATAACCCAAAATAGCTGAAATCCAGGTCAAGTCCCATACATAAAATCCAGACTAAGAATCTTTACCCCCGTATGCGATTTATGTTCCGGGGTAGGTGGCCCATGTTTTAGTATAAAAATGGGTTCTGCCTATCCCAAACCATCATAAAAACGAAGTTTCGACCTCTCAAACCACTCAGGCCACTCCCAGGGGCCACGCCCATCACAAAATAGCTGAAATCCTGGTCAAATCCCATACAAATTCAGACTGAGAATCTTTACCCCCGTATGCAATTTATGTTCCGGGGTAGGTGGCCCATGTTTTAGAATAAAAATGGGTACTACCTATCCCAAACCATCATAAAAACCAAGTTTCGACCTCTCAACCCACTCAGGCCGCTCCCAGGGGCCACGCCCATCCCAAAATTGCTGAAATCCAGCTAAAATCCAGACTGAGAATCTTTACCCCCGTATGCGATTTATGTTCCGGGGTAGGTGGCCCATGTTTCAGTATAAAAATGGGTACTGCCTATCCCAAACCATCATAAAAACCAAGTTTCGACCTCTCAACCCACTCAGGCCAATCCCACGAGCCACGCCCATCCCAAAATTACTGAAATCCAGCTAAAATCCAGACTTTAAAATCTTTACCCCCGTATGCGATTTATGTTCCAGGGTAGGTGGCCCATGTTTCAGTATAAAAATGGGTACTGCCTATCCCAAACCATCATAAAAACCAAGTTTCGACCTCTCAACCCACTCAGGCCACTCCCAGGGGCCACGCCCATCACAAAATAGCTGAAATCCTGGTCAAATCCCATACAAATTCAGACTGAGAATCTTTACCCCCGTATGCGATTTATGTTCCGGGATAGGTGGCCCATGTTTTACTATAAAAATGGGAACTACCTAACCCAAACCATCATAAAAACCAAGTTTCGAACTCTCAAACCACTCAGGCCACTCCCAGGAGCCACGCCCATCCCAAAATAGCTGAAATCCAGCTCAAATCCCATACAAATTCAGACTGAGAATCTTTACCCCCGTATGCGATTTATGTTCCGGGGTAGGTGGCCCATGTTCTAGAATAAAAATGGGTACTACCTATCCCAAACCATCATAAAAACCAAGTTTCGACCTCTCAAACCACTCAGGCCACTCCCAGGGGCCACGCCCATCACAAAATAGCTGAAATCCTGGTCAAATCCCATACAAATTCAGACTGAGAATCTTTACCCCCGTATGCGATTTATGTTCCGGGGTAGGTGGCCCATGTTTTAGTATAAAAATGGGTACTACCTATCCCAAACCATCATAAAAACCAAGTTTCGACCTCTCAAACCACTCAGGCCACTCCCAGGAGCCACGCCCATCCCAAAATAGCTGAAATCCAGCTCAAATCCCATACAAATTCAGACTGAGAATCTTTACCCCCGTATGCGATTTATGTTCCGGGGTAGGTGGCCCATGTTTTAGTATAAAAATGGGTACTGCCTATCCCAAACCATCATAAAAACCAAGTTTCGACCTCTCAACCCACTCAGGCCACTCCCAGGGGCCACGCCCATCCCAAAATTGCTGAAATCCAGGTAATCCATACAAATTCAGACTGAGAATCTTTACCCCCGTATGCGATTTATGTTCCGGGGTAGGTGGCCCATGTTTCAGTATAAAAATGGGTACTGCCTATCCCAAACCATCATAAAAACCAAGTTTCGACCTCTCAACCCACTCAGGCCACTCCCAGGGGCCACGCCCATCCCAAAATTACTGAAATCCAGCTAAAATCCAGACTTTAAAATCTTTACCCCCGTATGCGATTTATGTTCCGGGGTAGGTGGCCCATGTTTTAGTATAAAAATGGGTACTACCTATCCCAAACCATCATAAAAACCAAGTTTCGACCTCTCAAACCACTCACGCCACTCCCAGGGGCCACGCCCATCCCAAAATAGCTGAAATCCAGGTCAAATCCCATACAAATTCAGACTGAGAATCTTTACCCCCGTATGCGATTTATGTTCCGGGGTAGGTGGCCCATGTTTTAGTATAAAAATGGGTACTACCTATCCCAAACCATCATAAAAACCAAGTTTCGATCTCTCAAACCACTCAGGCCACTCCCAGGGGCCACGCCCATCCCAAAATAGCTGAAATCCAGGTCAAATCAAGACTGAGAATCTTTACCCCCGTATGCGATTTATGTTCCGGGGTAGGTGGCCCATGTTTTAGTATAAAAATGGGTACTACCTATCCCAAACCATCATAAAAACCAAGTTTCGACCTCTCAACTCACTCAGGCCACTCCCAGAGGCTACGCCTATCCCAAAATAGCTGAAATTCAGGTCAAATCAAGAATGAGAATCTTTACACCTGTAGGGGATTTAAGTTCCGGGGTATTCTTTTTGGTATGACTTACTATCACCACTCATTCGAGGAATATGTTAAATCAAAGAATATTCATGTTCATTTTTTTCGAATGAAGGTTCATTATCGCATTTTTTAAATAGTTTTGATAATCAGATCGAGCCAAATTTTATAGGATTGTATTTGGCCATTCAAATTACGTTCGATCTGAAAAAATGAGAGTTGTAGCTTCTCAGATGTCCGAGATACGAGGCATAACGAGTTTATTCATTACGTGTGATCAGGTGATTGGATTACCTGTTCAGGTGATTAGATGGCCCCGTTAAATTGCAAGGGAACCCAATCAAGGTGTCCTATCACATAATCACCCAATCAATTTTGTTAACGAGATACATTCAATGCGTCATTTCAACTCCGATTGACCTCAATTTTTCAGATCAGATGCAACAATTAAATATCTACAGTAATCTGAAATAAATGGGCGTCTAGTATGTCTGGAAAGAACAATATAGGTGATTTAATATTATATGGACGTAGGCCGTAGTCTAAATATTCAAATTTTCAAACATTGGCGACGGAATCCTCGAATGAGTAGTTACAGCATGCCATCTGCAAAGTTACAGGTCCATAATATGAAACACGGTGGTGGTGTAAGACCCAACATATGTAACGTTAGTTTTGCCCCAACCCCTGTAGCTTTTCTGGGTTAGGCGTGGCCCCTGGGAGTGGCCTGAGTGGTTTGAGAGGTCGAAACTTGGTTTTTATGATGGTTTGGGATAGGCAGTACCCATTTTTATACTAAAACATGGGCCACCTACCCCGGAACATAAATCGCATACGGGGGTAAAGATTCTCAGTCTGGATTTGTATGGGATTTGACCTGGATTTCAGCTATTTTGGGATGGGCGTGGCCCCTGGGAGTGGCCTGAGTGGGTTGAGAGGTCGAAACTTGGTTTTTATGATGGTTTGGGATAGGCAGTACCCATTTTTATACTAAAACATGGGCCACCTACCCCGGAACATAAATCGCATACGGGGGTAAAGATTCTCAGTCTGGATTTGTATGGGATTTGACCTGGATTTCAGCTATTTTGGGATGGGCGTGGCCCCTGGGAGTGGCCTGAGTGGTTTGAGAGGTCGAAACTTGGTTTTTATGATGGTTTGGGATAGGCAGTACCCATTTTTATACTAAAACATGGGCCACCTACCCCGGAACATAAATCGCATACGGGGGTAAAGATTTTCAATCTTGATTTTACCAGGATTTCAGCTATTTTGGGATGGGCGTGGCCCCTGGGAGTGGCCTGAGTGGGTTGGGAGGTCGAAACTTGATTTTTATGATGGTTTGGGATAGGCAGTACCCATTTTTATACTAAAACATGGGCCACCTACCCCGGAACATAAATCGCATACGGGGGTAAAGATTTTCAATCTTGATTTTACCAGGATTTCAGCTATTTTGGGATGGGCGTGGCCCCTGGGAGTGGCCTGAGTGGGTTGGGAGGTCGAAACTTGATTTTTATGATGGTTTGGGATAGGCAGTACCCATTTTTATACTAAAACATGGGCCACCTACCCCGGAACATAAATCGCATACGGGGGTAAAGATTTTCAATCTTGATTTTACCAGGATTTCAGCTATTTTGGGATGGGCGTGGCCCCTGGGAGTGGCCTGAGTGGGTTGGGAGGTCGAAACTTGATTTTTATGATGGTTTGGGATAGGCAGTACCCATTTTTATACTAAAACATGGGCCACCTACCCCGGAACATAAATCGCATACGGGGGTAAAGATTTTCAATCTTGATTTTACCAGGATTTCAGCTATTTTGGGATGGGCGTGGCCCCTGGGAGTGGCCTGAGTGGGTTGGGAGGTCGAAACTTGATTTTTATGATGGTTTGGGATAGGCAGTACCCATTTTTATACTAAAACATGGGCCACCTACCCCGGAACATAAATCGCATACGGGGGTAAAGATTTTCAATCTTGATTTTACCAGGATTTCAGCTATTTTGGGATGGGCGTGGCCCCTGGGAGTGGCCTGAGTGGGTTGGGAGGTCGAAACTTGATTTTTATGATGGTTTGGGATAGGCA